ATCCTTAGTTGATCTAGTTTCTTATTGTATATGGACTTCTTTTCTTGATTCAGCAATGAGTTGTTTTGATTGATAGTGCATTGTATATTGCCGTAATCATCTGGTTTGAGGTAGCAGGCTAGTTGGTTGGTGGTCTAATTTCTGTTTGAGTTTTTGTAAGTAATCCAGTTCTTGATATTTGGAATTCAGGAGTTTTTTGTTGTTTTTTTTGCATGTTTTGGATAATATCTGAAAACTGGTTTAAGTTTTTCGATAACTTGACCTTCACAAATTTTAGAATTAGCTTTTCAGAGCAGCACTGTCTGAGGAAGGAAATATCGTTTCTTCTTTTGGTAATTTTTATATTCAGTTTACAATGTTTAAAGATGGTTTCACAGTATGATTGGTTTATGGTGGTGGATAGGTGAGTAGAAAGGTGAAACGTTGCTTGTCTCTGTGCAACAAACTAGTGAACCTACATACCAAATTCGGTGAGGATCCACTAATTCAGTATCCTGTGGTAGCAACAAATCGAGAAACAAGTGGTAATAAAAAGCTTCACTGCAGTACACATATGCGTGCAGGGAAGCCAATAAAGTAGTAACTAATAAACTTACACACGGAATAACAAAGATAAATGTTTAGACTTGCACAACCTCGATTAATCTCCATGATGAATTTAAATTTGATGATGAGGAACCCACTTTGAGGCTAATGATGTTTGGAGACAGCTTGAATGGGTTAATGAAGAAAAACTTTAATATAAGTTTAACATAACAACAAATGTACAATGTTTCAACAAGGTTTTGTCATCATCAGGTACAAGTAATTCACACTAACACAGATATATATATATATATATATACAGTATGTAACAAAGAGTTCACATGGCTGGATATTGTTGCACGACTTAGAAGACATATCTGGGCAGTTTAAAATTGAATCAATATTTTTACTGTCATGGTATATTTTATGCACTTGTTTCTAAGCTAGGTGATCCAACACTATGTCTTTACTTTAGGCTTATTATACTAACACTCGCTACACTTATAGGGTTTCATTGCACCCCCCTGCCTCACGGCACCCTTGGACCCCGTCACTGAAATCATGATTGGCAAACAGTAATCAAACTATTCTATCTGGATAAAAGCATTTTGGCTTTTATAAATCCTCGTATTTCGAGAAATCAAGCATGACGTGATGTGACACACACATTGGCTTTTACATAGGTTAGATTATGTGTTCAGATTGCTTTAACAATTTAAATTCAAGAATGTTTGATATTATTTTAATATGATCTGAAGTTGATTTTTTCAAATACTTTTTTGGCACCTGTATAATGTTCAATCTTAAAAACTAAAAATTTTTTAAAAACAACGATTATTTCAAGCACAATTCTATAAAAATGAGATTGTTTCCAGTCTCCAAATTACTAAAATACAGTAACTTACTGTACAGGATAAAAAGTTTCATTTGGGTTTTTTTACCTACTTTTTATCCTCTACAGTGTAGTTTTTGTATTTTAGTAATTTGGAGACAGAAAACAATCTAATTTTTATAGAATTGTGTATAAAATAATCGTTGTTTTTTAAAAATGTTGAGTTTTTAACATGTATTGATGTTCAATTAGCTAATAACAGTGTTCCAATTTGATTTCAACTGGATTAGTGAATGTGTAGGATGTCAATAGCACCTGATGAAGCTCTAATACTGAAATATTGAGTTAATAAAAATACATTCTGGGGACACAGGTCATTATTCTATTTAGTATAATATATTTATTTACCGTTTGAAAACTTGCAGACTTAATCATATTACCAATGTTGCTAGTATGTTTGTGTACTTAAAATATTTCATTTTTATATTAGGTTCACCAATTCCTGAAAATGTTCGCAAGCATCTGAATCGGATAAAGACACAATATCTTCAAGCTTTGCAATCTCTTGGTTCCCAAAACTCTTTACAGCCTCGCTTTTCACGCATGGAGCAACTGGAAAATAAGGGTTTGTTCAGAGTTTTCAAAGTAAAAGATATGTCCATAAAAATAATAATTTTTTGTGTAAACCTGAGGCCTGTTATATGAATTCATTAATGTTGTTACATCTTATGGTTTTAAAATGTAAAGCCAACAGTCTTAAGCCTTAAAAATGAAGAAAGGGGATGTTGAAGTAAATGTAATACACTTATTTTCATTGACCATTTTTTAATTGTTCTATTAACCCAATGCAGCATAAAGGTCAGTCAATTTGACCAACCTTGTAACCACCACATAACCATGAAACTGTATATACTATAACTCTGAATGTACTAAGTGAATTGCTGTCAGAATAATATATTTATAAGAAGTTTCTTTATAGTTACAAAAATATTTGATTTTCTATTTATGAATTACCAAATGTACTAAGTGTGTCATCATAAAATTTGGTAGATTTTAGTAAACAAAAAATCATATTTTTTAATAAGGTATTTTTACTAAAAACTTGTCTGTGAATTTATGAAGCCGTTACTGAGGCCATCTGAGTGAAAGATGATTTTCATGCTAAAAATAGAAATACTTCTTTTCATCTTATAGTTTCATATTTTCATTTGCATAACTTCTAGAACTCCTAAATGAGTATCAAAAGATTTTTACTTTATCTCTTATATTACCTACACTAATGCTAACTGTAACAAAATCATCAATGTACAATAAAATGAAAAGTAGGAGAGTATTAAATATAATAAAAAATAACTATTATTTTTGTAGAATGACTGTGTATTGTAACAGACTATAACAATTGTTTTTTATATATCCTAACAGCCTCAGCTTCTTACCTTTTCACATCTGCTTTCTTTTAATTTTATTGCTTTACCATGTTTTTCAGATCCTTTTTTAGATCTTTTTTAGTATGTTTAACCCAATTCACAATAGTACACATTAGGGTAAACAAATGGATCAAGGTACATCATGTGATCTCAAACCAAATAAATTTCACAAGTGAGTGATGACAAAAAATTATTTATATAATTTTTTGTTGCTTAAGCTTTCTTAAGTAACCTAATAAATTTATAATTCTTACATTTATTTAGTTTTTTAAGATATTTATAACAATAAATAAAAATATACATAAAAAACTAGAAATTTAGGACTTACCTTGGCGTTGAGGTCTATTTGTACTCAGGAGCATCTTTTCTTAAGACTACTTTTTTCCACACTGTGTTGGCTGTCCACAAAATAATTCATGTTGCCTTCAAATATGCATTTTAAAACACAAAAATATATCAGGTACTAGAACAGAATCTCCCAAACTACTATAATATAACTGGCTTTTTATATAAGCTATAAATATGTTAAAAATTCCATTAGGTTCTCAGAGTTGAACAACAATGATTGCAAACAATGAATTTCAAGCTAAACTGTTGACTGCCAAAATGAAATAACCATATAAGGAATCATGTTAAAAAATATGCTATTTCTGTTGGTTATAAACATGTCCAATAGCATTGTCAGATAGAATTATAGACATGTTTTGAAAGGCATGCCATGTTGGTGGAATAGATATAGTTATAGCTCAGTAAAGCAAGAAGAGAGGAGGTTCAAATTTTTATTCTGGCTTGCCAATAAATACTGTGTGTGTGTCTCTAATTAGTTTGAAAATCAAACCCATGTAAGGAAAGAAAGAAAGTCTATAAATGACAAGTCAGAGTGATGACACAAAGAGGTGAAAATTGAGAATATATTTAAATATTTCATTTTCAGGTTATGAAATTAAAACTTAGTTAATATAAAAATATGAATTATAAACTATATCTTGATTACAAGCTTACTGACATACATTGATAATAAAGTTGATGTATTAACTATTGAATGTAATTCTGTAAAATAGTTTTGACATGTGCACTTGGCCCCTGACTGGGCCTGTATGCATAGAGTTAAATTAATTTCAAACATGTTAAATAGATAATATTTTATTTTTATACTGGCTTTGTATTTGAAACATATATTTTGTAAAAGATATGCAACATCAGAAAAAGTGATGATTAGCTTTGAAGTTAGGCAATTGGGGGATGAGTTTTAAGTGGGCTGTAATGATTGTTGAATAATTTCTCAATACAATTTGGAATTATATTTAAATAAAGTAATAAAGCTGTTCATTTTGTTGAATGTGCTTATGGTTAGTATTGTGTTTTCTAATAGACAGTGCGTTAAAGAAAGTCAGAGAAGGAATAATTAGAATACAAGGTAAGTGTAAATTGCTGTCAAAATAAAATACTTAGAAGTTGTTTCTTTATCGCTAATAATATATTTTGATTTTTTGTTTATGAATTACTGACTACTGGTGTATTACTAACATTTTGGTTTAAGACTTGAACATCCATGTAAATAAGCAGTATTAGAAGCCTGTCCTGTGAGTTGTTGTGTTTGAAATTTTTCTTTAGAACCATAAAATATACCCAATCCACTGACCATAAAGTTTGAAATGAAAACAGATTGATGTGAATAGTATCTGCTATACATGTTTTGTTCTATTTAACAGTATGTTCTATGATATACTCTGATTCCTGTTTTAAACTCCCACAAATTAAAGCTAAATGAGACAGTTTTATTGATTTAAACTTAGAGGTACTAGCATGAAATTAAGAAAATCTAATGACAATACATATATGAATTTTAATGCATGTAGTTGCAAGATACTGCTATGTGACGGGTTCTACACAATAAAATATTAGAAATGTTAAGTATGTATATATGTAGTCAGTTTGATAATTTTAAAATTTTGATCAGTAGTTCTCTAAGCTATAATAGTATTGGATTTCTAGGTCACATACATTTTAATACACGTAGTTGTAAGATACTGCTATGTGATGGGTTGTGCACAATAAGATATTAGAAGTGTTAAGCATGTGTATAATTCAGTTTGAAAATTTTTAAATTTTGATCAATAGTTCTCTAAGCTATAATAGTATTGGATTTCTAGGTCACATACATGTTCCTAGTTTATTATGCCTATAATTATATATATATGTGTGTGTGTGTGTGTGTTGACCACTTTAGAATGTACCAAAACATCATTTGCAGCTTTTCTATTGAACTTTCTCTGGTAACATTTGTATTTGATTCATTTTGAAACTTGATATGTTTTATATAATAAGAATAATATGCAAGAACATTCCAGGGGTTCACTAGTACTTGTTCACACTTGATTGAATGTTGGTGTAATTATAGTACAGTTGCCGAAAATTAAAAGGGGCAATATATGGTGTACAACCAAAATACCAATAACAATGATGGTATATTGATGAATTAAAGCATTTTAATTATTTTAAGTTTTCTTCAGAATTATTTATGACATTAGATACTCCTAATTAGTATGTTATATAAAATAAGCTATTTTATTTAAGTAATTTTTAGCTCTAATTTATGTACCATGCTTAGATCAGAAGTTATTGATAGCTAGATATGGTTTTGATTGGATAAGAAAAGTTGTTATATTTTAAGACAAACCTCTTTTCAGATGTATGTATAGCATGTGATTCAACATCAGTAGAAATAGCTACTCAGCACCCCCTGATAGAAGGAGGCTTGTGTAAGCAGTGCAAAGATGAAACTGTAGAAACAATGTTTGCATATGGAGATGATGGTACAAATGTAAGATGTTAATTTATGTTTTTATTATCTCATCATATATTTTAGAATAAATAGTGGCCATTCTATCTAGATAGATGTATGTTTGTTTGTGTAGAAGTTCAAGGGTATAGAAACGGTTATACAAGCTTAAAAGAACATTCCCTATAGGACAGCATTAGTTAAGTAAGTTTGAAAAACATACTACTGATGATGTTTTTGAATAAGTATTATAAAGAGGATAGGTAAATGAAGATTTAAAACTAAACAACTTGATAGTTCAGATAATTTAGCACTGGCATCTTAAGTCGGAGGTAACAGGTTGATGAGTTACTATTCATCTTCCATATAACATTCACATCTTAATAATTGATGTGTATGATTAACTATTTTTCTTAAGCAATATTTCAATGATTAATCATTATATTTATGTTAGATGATATCAGGCTTTATTGTAATTCAACTAGCATATATATTTACATGCATATTATTTTAAATAATAATGGAAACAGTGACGAAAAAAACATATAAAAGGCAAATAATGTATAAATACCACAACTTTATTGTGTGGATTTGAACTGCACCAGAGTACATTCAAATGTTTATAACTTGTAACTAGTTGCCATCCAACTAATCAAAAAGTGCCATACTGTTATAAAAGCTATGGTATCAAAAAAAAGGCTTATTGAACCTATGTGTTTTTCTGACATCATGTAAGTGTAGCAAGTTATATTTTGCCCAGTAATACTAGAGTGAATCCAGTTGTGGCTCCTAGGAGTGAAGTACAGCTTAACTAACATATATAAATCAAAGTTAAGGATACTCCATACAAATAATTGTGGCAAGACCTTGAAGAGGGTGTATACTAACACTGTTAATAATAGAAGTGATTGAGGTAGAAAATCATAACTCTTCAGAAGTGATGTTAAGTACATTTGTGTGTCAACATCTGTTCTTTGAGAGATAGATGACAAATGATTATAGATCTTGAAAATTACCTTTACGTAAATACAGGTGTAAATGTTACCTCAAGAACAATTAGAATGAAGTAGTCTCAATAGACATGCAACTGCTATAAAATTGCTGCTAAGAAGAATTAACCAAACCCAAAGATTGAATTGGGCATCAAACCACAAATAGTGAATTGAGCAAAAGTGGAGACACAGAGTTTACAGATGAATCCAAATTTGAATTGTTCAGTGAAATCAGTGACAGAGAGGGGAATGGTGTCATCTACACTAAAGCATGACGGGAAGCAGTACATGTTTGGGATTGCATCTCTACCAGTGGCGTTGGTGATCTTCACAAAATCAGTTGTAACCTTACTACTGATAGGTACAGACAGATTCTGATCCATTACACTATTCCCTTATAAACAGGACTCATCGAGCAGGGATTCACCACTCAGCAAGACAATGCCTCCAAATGAGGTAAACCAATATCTTGATGGTAAGAGGCCAGTAGAATACTCACAGTTATGGCTTGGCGAGCACATAATTCTGATATGAACATTCTTGAGGCCATATGGGCTTATGTAAAACTAAGAAAATCAAAACGTGATTTAACAACTTGGTTGAATTGTGAGGAGTTATACAGTACATTTATGTATGTTAGCATAAAAATAAGACATTCTGTGTAAAGCAAAGGGCTTAAGTACAAAATACTAGTGCATTTTAAAAGGTATTCACCTTTAACTTGTATTTATTGTGATCATGCTTTTTTATCAATAAAAAAAAATTCATCCAGATAGTTGCTATTACTTGTTGTTTATTACTCCTATATGTATATCACTAGTGCATTTCTGTTACTATAGGCTTCTGATAATTGAATAATTGTAAAAATGTGATCAAGCCAAATATAGATTTTTACACAAACATACAAAAAACAGACCACTTAGGTCTAGATTTGCTTGCTTGATTTTACTGAAAAAAACAGATTCAGTTGTAAAGAAAATGAATTATCATAGCAGTTAATAAAAGAAGCATACTGCACAAGAGACAGCAGTTTGGTTAAAAACAGAGCAGATAATCCTATTTACTATCTACCTGTATCAGTTGATTGATTTTTTATTTAATTTTTTAAATATCCTATTAAAAACTAAGAATCAAAACATAAGATTTAAAGGATTTATTGTGGTTAGTCAAATGAACTTAAAGATAAACTTTTGATTCACTTTAAAAAAAAGATTTTTTATATAAATCTCATCAGGCCTTTTTTGAATTGCAGGCTTATTGTGTGATTTGTGGTCAGGCTGGAGAACTTTTGATCTGTGATAACAATGACTGTAACAGGTATGTATTATCTTTTTCTGAAACTGTAATAAATTAATGAATAATTATTAAGACTAAACAAATATTATTGAGAAAGAGTGAGAACTTATCAAACTTGCAAAAATATATTAAAAAAGTCATTAGATATGACATGAATTATGTCTGTTTAAGTTAGTGTGAACAAAGTATTTTGAAGACATTACAATTTACCAAATTTTTTAATGTTCTATTATAGTAACTTGTATTATCATAGGAATTTCAATAAGCATATTATTTTTTAATATCTAAGTTAGTATAAAATGTAAAAAATATGATATTGGGTTAAGTGTATAAGATTTTGGGGCAGAAATCTAATTCTTTTTGGAATTTGCAACTTCTTTAAAATATATTTCCTTTTAGATAAATATTATTTTTATCTTTAGAATTTGCATTTAATGAGACTTTGTGATAAAGATTTAATTTTGTCATACGAAAAAAAGGCTAATATGTGGCAGACCAGTTTTTAGTTGTATTATCTATAACAAGCAAATGGTAATTTTTATTGGCTGTAAGATGCGTCTGCTCACTTTCAGGCAAGGACTGCTGGTATTTAGTTTTCAAAAATTACAAGTGAGGCTGTGTTTGTGTTTTTAGAATAGTAACATAGTGAAGTATTGGGTCTACAGGTATCAGTTTATCTGCCACCAAAAGAACTGAAGTTGATCTAACTTTATAATTCAGTCAGAATTTTCAAGAATTCTTACCAGTACCAGATACTGGGTTTACGTAATATTTTCAAATAAACAACTTTTATTGTTAGTTTGTAGCTCATACATAAAATTTAGTAACACAAGTCTGAACTCTATGTACTGCTTGAAATATATTTTTAATATATGTAAAGGTAATTTTGGCTTAAAAATTCTCACAGTTTTTAAATTGTATATTTACAAGCTGCTATATATATGATTTAACAGTGCATAACCTTTGTTATTTGCTGACCTTTATTAGGATTGGCTCAGCGGTAAGTCTGAGGGCTTATAACGCTAAAACATGGATTTCAATACCTGCAATGGGCACAGTGCAGATAACCTAATGTGTAGCTTTGTGCTTAACAACAAAAAGCAAAATATTTAGAATTGGCAGATAACTTAGTAGCAAAAATCTTTTTAAATTAAAACTTGAGAACTTATTGCAGAAATTACACATGTATACTCATTTATAGAACAATTTCTAAATATATTACTATTTTTTAACTTTCTTTTGTATATTACATCCACATGATTATTTGGAAAGTCATTTCTCAGTCATATTTTTTTTTATTATGCCTAGTTTTATTCTGTAACTGTAACTAAATGGAGATAGCTTTATTATGTTAGTTAATTGTATCAGTAGTTACCTTTTTCTCATCAACCACTCTGCATACAAATTATATAATGTCTGTGACATCACGCATTTTTGTTGTATGATTTTCTTAATCAAAAATCAATTAGTTAGTTCTTCCTAATTTGAACAGATACTTCTTGACTCCAATATAAATTTTTGAGGATTCTAATATCTGCTTCGTATACCCCATCCTGCTGCAGGATTGTCATTAACTTTTTATGGTTAATCTTGTCAAACACTTTTCTCTTTCATCTTAATATTCTAAGGCCAAATATGTTCCCTTGCCTGCCCCAACCTCTTCTGAAGCCATTTTGATTTCTTCACAGTTTATTTTCATTAAGTTGGAAGTCCTATATTGGCCACATTACATAGCCTTAGTTTTCTTGGAGTTTGGCATGAAAACAGACCCTTTAACCATCTGTTCATGGAGTTGATCAAATTGATTGACGATGTATTTGTGCTGCTATACATAATAATGTTTATTGTAGTTCTTAATTTACATCATGTACTTTCATACCATCATAAAATTTTGCAAGATTTTAGTGAACATTGAAAGTTTATTGTATACAAAAAAATAATAATTTTTAATATAGTTTTTTTATAAAAGATTTGTCTCTGAACTTACAAACTATAACTGAGTCAGTCTGAGAATAAAAATGATGCATTTAATCTTATAGTTTCCATATTTAGTTTGCATAGCTTCCAGAATCTCCTAAATGAATATCAAAAGTTTTTTGGTAAAACCATAATTCATCCTTCTATTTTCTGCATCCTAATACTAACTGTAACCAAATCACTAATGTACAGTGAAATGAGAAGGTCGTGGCATGCACACGTTGACCCTCCACTCGTTCACATAAAGTTAAGAAGTTAAAATCTAGATAATATATAAATTTGAATTATGTATATATTAACTTTTCATGTCAAAATTTTCACATGCATTGATAATAAAGTTGTTAAATTTTGAATGCACACTGTAAACGGTCGTGTCACGCACAAAAGAACTAGGTCTGGATGCGAAGGGTTAAAGTATGTTGCGATTGTCCCTTGTGAGCTACAAATTTCAGTCAGATATTTAATCCCTAAATTGTTTATTTCCTTTAAATCTTCTACTGGAATCTTGTCTGTGCTGCAAGATTTTACATTTTTTCAAACTTCTATTCCTCCCTTTCTAGAATTACTGGGCCTTGGTTGGTTGGTTCTACCATTTCTAGGGCTAGTTCCTATTCCATGGCATCATTGAACAATTCTCTTGCATGCTCCACCAAGGTTTCTTTAACATCCTCAATTTCAAAAAGTATCTGATTTCCTTATTTTAGATGGCTTCACAAGATGACTGCGTAGGTGTCCTATTCATGTGTTTTATTCTGTGGATTTTACATGTTATATGTTGCCTCAAATTCCTCAGATTTTGCATATTTCTTGTTCAGATATATTCATCCTTTACTTGCCTACACAGACTCCTGATTTTATTATCTACTTCCCTATGTTCTTGCCCTACTTCATAGTTGCCTTCTTTTGTTCATCTCTTTTAGAATTTTGATTCTTCTTTTACCCACAGTCTTCTCTCCTGCTTCCTTTAACATCTATTTGAACTTAATTCACTGGTTTTTGTTAAGTTTTTTTACTAATATTTTAAATTGGTTTTAGTCTCTATCACAATGTTCTTGGCTATATTTTTATTTTCTAAATTTTTCTAAGCTCCATTTCACTCTGCGTGAGATCTCTTAAAAATATTCAGTTTGTTCATTATTAGTCTTATTTCTCTAATCACAACTTGTGATCAGAGCCACAGTCTTCTCCTGATAGGTTTTCACTATTGTAATGAAGTCTCCTGATAGGTTTTCACTATTGCAGTGGGATTTCTAAAACTTTCCTTAACTAGTATGTAGTCTGTCGAATTTCTCACAGTCTTTTCATTGTCCTGTGATGACCTACAATATATAAACGACTAGTGTGATGCTGAAATTAAATGTTGCTTATCATTCAATCATTTTTTTCATATAATTGTGCTAACCAATCTCCTCTCTCATTCCATTTTTCAAGACCATGTGGTCCAATTATCATTCTATTCCTGCCTTCACATACCTTTGCATTAAAGTCACCTATTAGCATAAATTATTATCCTGACTTTACTGCATGCATGATTTACTCTACAAGTGGATAAAAGCCTTCAATTTCATTTTCTTGATTCTCAGATGTAGGCATATAAATTTGGATGACAGCTAAGTCAAAAGGTTTTGCTCAAAACTTGACTAACCTTACCATATCTGAGATAGGCTAGAAGTCTTACATGCTTTTAACTCCTTCACCTTTTGATTTGACATGTCTGTTATATGTTTTGTTTTATTGCACTGCAAAAACAAACTACTGAACATAATAGTTTAAACCTTCAGATGAATGTTTTACAAGTTATGTAACTTCTGTAAATAAAATATATAATTTTTAAAGTGGTATTTGTATGAATTCACAGCTTTGCAAATTCAAAAGAGATTAAGCTGTAATGTGTTTTTTTAAGGAACAATTAACAATGCTTTCCTCTGTTAAAGGTTTTAAATACTGATTTTTTATGTCTTTTACATTCTTGTAAAAACTATTATAAAACAAGTATTTATAAAACTATAAATTTTTATCTTTGTTTGATTCAAGAAGCAACACACACATTTAACTGTTCACAGGTGTACACTAAAAGTAACTTTTTTACTATACCATAATTATAAGCTAGCCAACTTTTTAAACATTTTAATCAGAAAATTTCATTTCATTTAATACATTTAGTAAGTTTTAAACCTTAGTTTATATTCATTTATATATATATATATATTATTTATTTTTGATGATTTTGTTTTTCCCATTCAAGCAGTTACTTAAGCCAATAAGGCCAAATATAAATTTTAATATGATGTAACATAGTAGTTTGTTTGGCAAAACTAAGTTTGATACAGTCTAGTGCAAAATGTATTAACTAAGCCTACTTCATTTTGTTCCATGGCATGATGGTTAGAGCACTCAACTCAAAATTTGCAGGTCACAGGTTTGAATCCCTGTTGCCAAATTGCCCTTTCAGCCATGGGGGCATTATAATGTGACAGTCAATCCCTCTTGTCTATCACTGCTGAATTTGTGACAACTAGCATAGATAGCCCTCATGTACCTTTGTGCAAAATTCATAACAAGCCAAACCAATCTTTTCCTAATGTACTGCAACATTAAAATTCAAATGAAGTACAACATTATAAAGCAAGCTTTATGCAAACTTTAAAAAAATTCAGGACTAGATTGTGTTGGAAGTTGGTCACAAATATATTTATTTTAGTAACAAATCACTAAGCTAAGCATTTATCTTTTTTTTCTGATCTCTATGCTCCACCCTTTCTAAAGTTGCTCAAAAGTAAGTCTAAAGACGTGTAACACTAAAAATCGGGTTTCGATACCAATTGTGTGCACAGTACAGATGGCCCCTTTTGTAGCTTTGTGCTTAACTACAAACAAACAAAATTTATCCCTATGCAAATCTTAACTGAACTGGAAGACAAGTTGATTTATACATTGCAGAAGAAAATTAAAAGATCTTTCATTACATATTTAGATCACTAGTCTATGGCTTCTGAGAACTGAGATATAGGCAATTACATCACATCTTGCTTACTGAGGCTCAGAAACATTGATTGGCTAAAATTGATAAAACTACACATGTTGAAGTTCAGATTAGTGCTGCTTTGTTCAAAATTATTTTGACTTTCCTCTACTAATGCTATATTTTGCTGAAAAACTAACGTTTTTGTTATGAGCAAAAATCAACCCCAAATCCAAATTTTGACACCTTTTTATTTTTGTGTATAATATTAAATAAATACAACTTTTTTATTGAATAAATTTCAACTACGAAAGTGTTTTTTGATGTGTAAAAGAATGACTAGAAACTTATTTTCTATATGTTTTTTTTTAATTTGGCCAATAGTGCAATTTTTCCCTCAGGGCAGGATGCACCCTTCCAGGCATGATAGAGTTACTCCCTCATTGACTAGGAAACCTACTTTTTGTTATATTCATATCCTAAGTACATGAAGTTATAGTCTTCATTTATAAGAGTCTCTGAACCAACCATCTAATCTCACTTAGCCCCAGGTTATATCCCACCTCATTCTTTTCATCTAGTGGCATACATTGCTCAAACTTCCAGTTCTATATAAAGTCTTCAGCTAGAACTTAGGAGTCCCACAGAAATGGGCTTTTTCCAAAGCACATAAGAATCCACTTCTTACAGGAACACCAGTACCCTCCCTGGTAGCATACTTCATGAAAGATTGCCAAATGGTCCTACAACTTCTTATGTATATCTTTACAACTTTTTCAAACCTCCCATAGCCAATTAGGGCTAGATAGTATGATAGAATGCCCAGACTCCTTGTGCACCCAACTGATGTTAGTTTCACTGATCCATGAGTACCAGGTAGTGGTAATTAGGATAATTTTAGCCAACCAGTGTAATGCCTAAAAACTCTTTAATAGAACTCCCACATCAGAAACACTCCTGTAACTAAATGGAATGAGCTTTGTTATGTTAGTTAATTTATAACAAGTAATGTATGAAAACACGCTAAAACATTCCTTAATACTCTATAACTCAAAATAAACCTAATCTACTACTAAAACACTATGGCATCAGAAGATCAATAAAATGGGTCTTCAGGACTTACTTCACAATAATAAATATTAATACATTTCAATGGTGGATCACCATATGAGACAATTGTTTTAGATTTTTAAAATCATAATGTTTTATTTCAATAACTATTAGAATTCTGTCACTTGAAATATTAGTTTTTAGTGATTTGTAAAATAATGTTTATATTTTTGCACAATAGTTTACAGACTAGAGATAAAAGAGGCATCAGTCCTTCTTAACTACAAAAGAGTGTAATATGAAAAATGGGGTTTGTTTCTTTAAACAGTAATGATGCCCTGATAAAACAATTAATAGTTAAGAACAGGTGTGTAAGAAAATTATGGAAAATGTTAGTAAAATTTCTTTAATTAATTTTGTGATTCAGCTTTACTGAATTTTTATTGGTCTTGCTCTCTCTAGGTGTTACTGTACAGGCTGTATTGATGTCCTCGTGGCTCCTGGGGCCCATAAAAAGGTAAATGTTCTCACTTGTTTAGTAGAATAATTCTTTAAATTTAACTTGTATTAATATTATATGTTTAATTTTATGTAAAAAATAAGAGTATTAAATATTTTTTCTGTTATTCACTTAAAAAGTTACCTTAGAAAGTATAAACTTCTTTAAACAGCTCTTTTTTATTTAAATATTTTAGGTGCTAAATACTAGTCCATGGCTGTGTTATATGTGTCGAGATTATGATCCTGAAATAAACGGTCTCATCAGATGTAAGGATGAATGGCAGCAAAACGTAATGCAGCTTTTCCAACCAGAGAAGCATGTTCAACTTCCTCCTTCTCCAGATGATTATAAAGAAAAAAGGCCGATCAGGGTCCTTTCTTTGTTCGACGGGATCGGTACAGGTGGGTGTTATAGTTATGTAGCTATGCCTGTGGTTACACTTGAAATTAATTTATTGAATTGTCTGCTTTTCTTTTAACCATTTTTATGAACTATTGTTCGTAAGTGGATATCAGTAACGTAAATGCTTGTTTCTTATATCATGAATTTTTAGTGAATCTCAGTCACTGATAATAGTTCATGCAATTCAATCATTTTATATCTATTTACAAGTTTGAATCAGTAGCAATATGTGCTTTGGAAAATTTACTCCATAAATCATATTTCTTGTTTTGTTTTCTTTGAAGAAAATAATGATAATTTATATAATTTATAAAAATAAACAGTACTTTTCAACTACTTATTTACCAAATCTGATTTAACTTCAGAAATATGAAAACACAAGAAAGGTATAAAATGCTTTTTGTGTTATTTTATGCATTTCTGTTTCTCTGTCTGTTATAAATGTTATATAAAATTTAGTTGAACTTCTTATTCTCTCATGGCCCAAAGGCAAGTTTGTTTTGGACCAGTTGGGAATAGAAGTGGATGCTTATTATGCTAGTGAGATTGACCAGGATGCCATTAATGTCTGTATAGTCCAACATAAACTAAGTGTTACCCATCTTGGTCGAATTGAAGATGTCACTGATGCTGAGGCAAGTCATTTTTTAAAGGAATTGTTGTTTTTTTTCTTTTAAATCAAGCCATAAGATGTTACAAAGCATGTTTACTAGGTTATTTATTAAGGTTTCTGGGATGAAATTCGTGAAGGAGAAAGAAAGTTGAGCAGTGAAATCCTAATTGATGAAATATTAATTACTATAGTGCATTTGAAGTTTATTATAAGTAATTTTAGCTTGGTTAATAATTGAGGATTTAAACATAATAAGTGCAGAGATGTAGTGTTAACAGTCAATAATACAGTTTGAAAACCCATTGAACTTTCTTAATCATTTATATACTATTCTGTTAGTAAACAGTTAAATCTGGATCTTTAAAACCACTGTATTTAACATTCAGATAGAAGAAAACAAAGTTGTGAGTCGTAGTGATATTAACTCAAATGTAATATTCACATATTTGTTAAATTTTATATCCACTCACTGTTTATGTAATTTAGAGTGTAGTCAGAGAATAATGGGCATAGTGAATTATCAATAAGAATTTTGATATTGCAGAGAGTTGAGTACATTATATTAATACAATTTTAAATATGCAAGTCAGCAAGTCATGTAACAATGGAATGTATTAGAACTACATTTTGACATTATTTGGCATTTTTTAGGCAGTGTGGTGCCACTGAAAATTGATCAATTTTGGGAAGGCTACATAACAATTCTTTCTGATGCAAAATGTTCATACACTAAGGTCATAAAGATGTTTTAAAATTGGAGATTTATAATTTCCAACACAGTGTCATTTCCTTTATTTAATGGCATTGGGAAACAAAAGAATATGAATCAACTTGGGACATCAGAACCCACCAGTGTGCTTTGGACATGACAGCCTGATAACAGAGCCTTTTCAATGAAAACTACACTCTAGGGCTGTCAAGATGCACAGTCTTCAGGTGGAGCATGGCCAGATGTGGTGACATGGACTTTTAAGAAAATGTTGAGACTTCAAAATAGTTTTAACATAATGTCCTCAACCTCTGTACTTCTCATAAAGAGTGAAAATCTATAAGATTACTTTGCTTGATTACAGGTAGCCAAGCTTTGTCCAATAGATTTTGTTATTGGAGGATCTCCATGTAATGATCTCTCTCTGGTTAATCCTGCCAGGAAAGGCTTGTATGGTAAATAACTTGATAAACTGTTGTTTTCTAATCATATGGGGGGCTCCACATTTGGTTACTTTTTTTTGGGACAAGTGGCTTTATTGGGTTGCTGTATATACATTTGTTTTGGATATAAAGTTTTATCAAAAACAAATTGTGTAGACAGTGTTTAAAATATCTAAATTTTGAACTTTAAAGGTAATTATTTTTAAAAGGTTTCTGGTATTTTTATTTAATTTTTTTGTGCTATGTGTTAATATCTGAAATAATAATAAGCAAACGTAAGATCAAAGATATATTTAAGTTATTAGTTTTAAGATCTATTTCAGTTTTTGTAACTTTTGTATAAAGTATCAAAACAAAGTAAGTATAACACTCTAACAAATTAAAAAGTTACTGTAGAAAAAATTATGTAAGTCTTCACTATAAAAAACCTGGATGATAATTTTTCGTATCTAAAGTCTCAACAAAGCAGGTAAATGTTGTTTTTTTTTCTGAGTTGTAAAATGTTAGAAAGCACTGTTTAATTTTTCACTATTTTAGGTCACATAAATTTGTACTACATACTTTATTACATAAAAGTTATGTAAAAAGAACAATTAGGAGTCAAACACTAATACTACTTAATCTTTGTTTTAAACAAGATGACTTATTAAAACAGTTTGTTGAACTTCTCAAAGTGTTTTTCAGTGAAGAATACCCTAATAGTCTGTTCAGAAAAATATTATTGAGAGCTTAATTCTAGCAAGAAATGTTAATAAAACTTAAATTCTTGCTGAGATCTTCAATTGAACTGAGAAATTTTGCTGAATTATTAAGAAAACTTTTTATATTACCTCTCAACTCACCCTTCTATACAGTCTGCTCTCAAATGCTGTGTTATATGTCCCTGGGGTTAAAAAATGTAGATGGGTACTCAGCCCTTTCAAAATACATATCTTTAGTCTTTAGTAATTATAGTAAAGGTTCACAGATTTACAGCACAAAAGCAGTTAAATTTGTTTATGTTTGTTCTAGATGTACATTATTCACCCAAGAACAAGCACATTGATTTAAATATAATATTTTTGTATACATAGTTTTGCTATACAAGAAAAACTTTGCTGACCATTGTCACAAAACATCCAATTTATTCATTAACATTTTAGTTTCTGTGGTGTTTACTATTTGAAATAAAAGTACACCATAAAGTAACATAAAATGGTTTGTCTAGGTTAACCATATTTAAATATTTGATTTCAGTATTTAAAACTATCCTTCCATGCATGTCAGATTTGAAAGTGTCATAAACAACATTTGCTAGAATGATGTAATATTCTTTATTTATATAGTTTGTACATTTTAATCTGTGTACTTTCTTTTCCAGAGTAAGGAATTCAGGTATCTCCAAAAATCATAAACATTTTCTTATATTGGGTATTTTTGTTTCCATAATCTACTTTTTATAATTTTGTTCATCTACATTTTATAATTTTTGGTCAACTCTTATGTTATGCTAATGTTATGTTAATTTGGCCTAGATTAAACAATACTTTCAAATTTTTGTGTGTGGCAGCTTGTCTTTTTTTATTTTACTCTCTCTTTTTTTTCATCATCTTTAATAAGTAAGTTGTTTTGTTTTTGTGACTGATGCACAAACGTTTTTTTAAGGTAAGTTTTGATAAACTGTCTTATTTATAAGTTCTGAATTTTTACTTATAAAGAAAAAAACCAATTTTCCCTTACTAGTACTTCTGTATATTTGTTGTTTCCTTCTTATAGATCCGACAGGAACAGGAAAGTTGTTTTTGATTTTTTCGTGTTCTAAAAGCTGTGCAACTAGCGAATAAGGGAAGACATGTTTTCTGGTTGTATGAAAATGTTGCATCCATGCCCCAGGAGTATAAGGCAACTATTACTCGTTTTCTACAGGTAATGTATGAAGCTATAAAAACACTTTTAAAAAACACATTTATAGCATAAGCTTTATCAAGAAATAATATAAGTTTCATCAATAAAGTGTTATTGCTTATGGATAAGCTTAAAACTCAAATTATTTGTATTTGTTCTGTCAGCTCTTATTTCAGAATTTAGCCTAGTCTTAACTGCTTTGTTCCAGTTAAGTATTTATTCGTTATGTAGAACAATTTTTTTTTTTAAATTTTGTTCTGTTGTTCTTTTTGGTGTATAATTTCAAATCCACTAAACAGATTGTGTATGATTTCATGGTATAATCCATTGTATTATGATGTCACTTCTATTCTTCTTTTATTAGCACTCAAAAATCACTTGCACAACATTTCTAGGCTTACTACTCTCAGTTCTGTAATCTATTTATCTTGTTATACATGTACATGCAATGCACACTTTAAGGGAATCTACAATTCAAAAGTTATTTGGGATAAGTCTTAGTGCTTCTCTGACATTTACAGCTTTGATTTTTCTGGGATGATTGGTAGAGAAACTTCTTGTACAAGTGAACATTACTTATGTCTGAGGCACTTCATTGTGGGAAGGTTTTCTGGAGAGGTTTGTTTCTCATCTTTCACTACATGGGCCTTTCCTCCTTCCTCCATTCCCAAGGATTGTGGTCTCAGATCTCTTGGCCAAGAATGCCATTGAGAGGGTATTTAACCCCAAACCTGGTTATTCCTCTTGTCTTTTTGTGGTCCCCGAGAAGACTGGGAACTGATGTCTGGTTATTAGCTTGTCATATCTCAACTGGTTTCTTATCATCCTTCATTTTGGTTTGGAGGGTTTCTTTTCTCTCCAATAATTTTTTTTTTCTTGGACTGTGGATGGCCAAGGTCAACATTTTGAATGCTTTTTTGACACATTCCAGTTGTGGTCTTCCAGTATCATGCTCTTCCTTTTGGCATTATGTCTGTTCCTTATCTCTTTAATTGAGTATTTACCCATGTTGTTCACAGATTGGGGCTGAGATTTCATTATTACATGTATGATTGGCTTCTCTTCACCCCTTCTCGAGAGGACTTTTTCTCTCACTTCTTTATTCTTCTGCAAAAGGCTGCTTAGTTTGTCAAGTCATCCAAGTCTTCTCATGACTGCCGTATATTTGGTACATCTGAGCATTTTCTTCAACATCAATTTCAGTCAGCCTGAGCTTTCACTACTTCAATGGAATGTTTTGTCACTGTGGTTTGTGCTCCTCTTTTAGACCCTGCACATGAGGTTCTTTTGCTTTTGGGAACTCTGGCTTCCCTTGAACCACTCATTCATATAAGCTGCACAACAACACACACACATGCCTCTTCCATTTGAAATTGCTGGACCAGTGGAACCTTTCTTGGGATCCATTGTCCTCAGTTGTGTGCTTCCCTTCTCCTCTTTGCAAGGATTTGTCTTGGTGGATCGACCATGCCTACACTATGGTGGGCATCCTATTGCCACCCCCTGACCCAATCTCCACCTATTCACAGATGCATTTCTGTCTGGCTGGGGTGTGTATCTCTTTAAAGACTACATGACTTTGAATGTGAGGGTTCCAGAATAGTATTTACTGCACATCAATGATCTTAAACTTCTTGCCATCCATTGGACATTTTCCCATTTCTACCCTCTTTTTGTATATCAATTGGTCATGATCCACTCTGAATATTCCACAGTCATTTCTTATATCAGTTGTGAGGGAGTACTCATTCCAGGTCTCTTTGCTTCCACACATTAGACCTGTTACTTTGGGCTAATTCCCATTGGATTTGTCTCATAGCTTACCATGTGCAAGGGGCACTGAACCTGGTGGCAAATTGCCTCTCTCAACGAGACAGGGCTTTAACCACGGAGTGGTATCTCCACTCTCAAGGTTTTTATTGGGTTTGCTCTCAGTTGGGCATACCTTTTATCAATGCCTTTGCCACTCTCAGCACCAAACTTCCCCTCTTCAGGTCCACAGTTTCTCATCCTTTGGCCCTAGCAGTCAATGCTCTCAGCCAGGACTGGTTACACCTTTTTCTGTACGCCTATTCTCCTATTCCTCCTCTCTCTCATGTCCTTGCATTGATATATGACACTCCTTGTCAGGTTCTTTTGGTGATGCCTCTTCTGCTACATTCCCACTCTCTTTTGCTCCAACCATATGTCTCTCTTTCTCCCAGGGTTGTTATCCCTTGTTATCTTCATGTGTGGAATTTGTTCTGTCCATTGCCTGTAGGGCTGGATTCTCCAATCATACAGCCTTTTTTCTTATCTAATTTTTGTCATCTTTCAACTCTGTCTGTCTATCAACAGAAGTGGTAGGTTTTTCAATATTGGTCCATCAGCCTCTCCTTTCTTCCAGGGCATCCTACTGTGACCCACTTTCTGATTTTTTTCACCTGGATTGTCAGTTTCTTTCCACTATTGCTAGTTCTCAGGTGGCTTTATCAACTACATTTTGCCTTTCCCATTACTATCAGGTTTTTCCTCTCTTGTCCCCTCCACTTTTTTTCAATCCTTCCTGTTCCACCAACCCACTTTCATTCCACTCTCATGTTTGACTGTGACTTTGATACAGTTTTACACATTCTTATATGTGCTCCATTTGAACTGTTGGCTTCATGTTCATTTTACCTTCTTTCTCTGAAGACATGTTTTATTCTCCTTGCTTATAGTTGCTGTCATTCAGATATATATGTCATCAGTACTTCCTGCACTCTCTTTCACTGTACTTACTTACTTACTCCTCTGTCCAGGTCAGGTCTTTTTTCCTAAGACTTTAGCTGTTTGGGAAGGTGATTGTTCTTTCACACTTCATCACATGAGGTTAGCCAACTGTCTCACTCTCTTGTATCTCACTTTCACTTACCCTTGGACGAGATCCTTCATCTTGGCATGTGGATGAATCTACAAATGTTCATCTCTCATTATCTTCATCATCTGGCTGTTTTGTTTTCTGCTGGATTTCAACTCCCTCCAGTTTCTGATCTTCAATAGAACTACATACTGTCTTTGAGAAGGGTAAGTACATTTTATTTTTCATCACCCTTTTCCCCTTTTATAGGATACCCCCCAGGTGGCTGGTGTTGCCTCCCAGGATATGCTTATTTACCCAAGGTCCACATTGAGTCAGGGATAATGGAAAGCTCTTAATCCATCCATCCTATCTCTACTGGTACTCACTGTAGAGATTGGGTATTCTGCAAGACACTAGAGGTATCCTCATGGTATTGAAATTACTCAATTGCTGATTCAGACTGTATCATTTCATGAACTCTCATGGATAAAGCTAGTACCAAGGAAGTGGCTGCTCATTTCTTTGGCTTGCACCTGCAAGCTTTTAAAAATAGGGTTTCACAATCATCCACTGCACTGTCTTCAGTAAAAGACCTTTCCAACAGGCATCAGATGGGAATCCAGGCATTTCTCTGAGTCTCCCCAATGTGACTTCTCCCCTGTTCCGTGGAACACAGGAGACCCTTGCCACTTGCCAGCTCCTAGCAACTGGGGTGGTGAACCTTGGAGAGTTTCTCACTCATTGTGAGAATATGGTGGAAAATAGAGCATTGGTGGTACTGTCTGTGTAGTGCAGGTAACCCCTCAAACAGCTATTGCCCCCCCCCCCTGCAGCGGGAAGGGTTTATCACCTCTATATTTGTCTGTCTGGTTGAGTCAAGGTCAGACACAGTGTACGGTGATTGCACCCTAATCACACAACACTTCTTGGCTCGTCGACCACTTGTGTACAAGTTCTTGTTTGGACATGATAAAATTTCACCCATCCCTGCACTACTTGGGGCTCTTCTGCCTTTCCTTCTGTTTTCTTGCAGGTGAAGAAAATACCCTGATCAAGATGAGATGTGGTCTCCCATTGGTGTGCTCCTATGGAGCCTCTGCCATCGGGTGTCACACTCCATGGGCTTTTTCTTTGGGTGCTTTCTGAAGGGAATTCATCTAAGTTTAATGTTTGCACCAACCTCTCCACCATTTCAATGTAGGTCTAGCTATCCTGTGTGCTCAGGCATTGTATCATCTTGGAAGTTAAAATTTTTTTCTTTACCTGAAAATGTATTTCCAATAGATGCCTTTTCACACCTTTCCATCCATCCTCCTTACTTTTGGTACACTTTCTTCTTGCCTTGACTAAGAATGAAGTTATTTCAAGCACAAGTACTTTTGGGTAGTTACTGTGCAAGGACATTGTGTCACTCTCCTATTGGTGGAAGGATATCATCACAACTAGTACAGCTGATGTTAAACAAGTGATTTTTAGGTTAGAATTAGCTCAAGGCTAGTGCCATGCAAGTCTCATAGACAGACTTGCAATGGATCAAGCTATTCTGTGTGAAAAGGTATCTATTGGAAATACATTTTCAGGTAAGGAAAATGTTAACATTAGTAAATTCTTTTTTCTAAAGGTTATCATGACTAAACAGTGATGTACAGCTGTAGAAGTAAAGCACTGAATGTTGGAGAAAAAAGCCCAAGATTTGTGCCTAGACTTTTGTCAGAGCATGTTATTGTACTGAAGACATGAAGTAGTAACACAACAATGTCATATGATATACACAACATATAACTACTAGAGAGCTATGGTATTTCCCTGGGATATATTATCTTGATACCCATAGACAGATACATTATTGTGGTTATGGAGGTAGAGGAAGTTAATATATGGTGTAGAATCATTGGCACGACAGATATACCGTATGCCCTATGCAATAGGGATATAATATACAAATAACGTTGATAAAGTATTCACAAGCTTATTTCTTCATCCAGTACTATATTCATATTACATGTTAACAAGTTTTATAACTGTAATAAAATCTTTTGTTAAACTCAAACACTATCTTAATTAAAATATTTGATTAAATTTTAAAGTTTTTTAAAAGTATAATTCAGAATAATTAGAAAATGTTTTATTTTAATGTTTTTTATGGTGAAAATTGAGTTTTTATTAAGCTGAATATTTTTATTTTAGTGTGATCCTGCCATGATTGACTCGAAGTACTTTTCTCCTCAAAATCGGGCTCGTTATTTCTGGGGTAATATTCCTGGAATGTATGCGTAAGTACCTTTGTTTTAGATCTCCCAAAAAACACTTTGAAATAAGATTTTTCTATGATTCTTTCTTTACTGTTATATTTGTCATTAAAATTGTGATATCATTCATTGATCCGTGTTAATACCATTTGATGAATAAATGCATCTTCATATGATTGAACTTAAAATAGTTTAGATTAATAATGATAAACAGCCGATTGTGTGCATATATTACCAAATTCTTGGGATATAAAATAAAGTTTTTGTTAAAAACCACTAAATATGATTGATCTGTATTTAGGTGTAACTAAAATGTTTCCAGTTCCTGATACTGAATCAGAAGGTTTAAATATCAATATGTAAAATACAGAATCATTGCCTTGCTGGAAGGTGAATCCTTGTTTAACAGTTATATCTTGTTCCTTAGGGAAAAAATCTCTTGTACCTGTCAGAAGGCAGGGTGTCACCAGTTTTGGATAGATTTTCAACACCATTTGCTAAGATACAATCCACACTTATATTGGCTCCCTAGTATGTTTCACTGATGATGTTGTACATTGACTTTGAAACCTTTTTTCTCTCTGCCATTAAACAAAGTATCATTGGTTGTTGCAAAACAATCTATATTGGGATCCTTCTATAAATAGCACCTTCCTCCAAGAATCTGTATTGGGATCCTTCTATAAATAGTGCCTTCCTCCAAGAATCTGTATTGGGATCCTTCTATAAATAGTCCTTCCTCCAAGAATCTGTATTGGGATCCTTCTATAAATAGTACCTTTCTCCAAGAATCTGTATTGGGATCCTTCTATAAATAGTCTTCCACAAGAATCTGTATTGGATCCTTCTATAAATAGTCG